TGGGTGTTTCCCGCCCCGCCCGCCGCCTCCCTTGCCCGGGTGGCCGAGGGCTTCGCCTTGCCTCTGCCCGAGGAATCGATGCTCCTTTCCCCAACGCCTTGACACCTGCAGGCGAGCAGGGCTGTATGAGAGCCACGTAGCCTTCTTACACCCTTACTGGGTACCGGAGGTTGGCACATCCTGGCTTGGCTGTTTGCTGGCCGGTTGAAACCGCAGCCCGGGGCTGATGCAACGCGACAGGCGGGTTTCGCTGGGCGCCGAAGCGGGACGTTGCTCTCCCGCCTCGCCCCTCAAAGCCGAATCACAGCGGTAGGACCAGGCAATTCATGCCCTTCTCACCAGGCCTCTGCTTCCCTGGGCTTTGCAGAGAGGCAGCAGAAGAAGCAGGTGGAGCAAATGGAGGATGAGATTCGGGAGCTGAAAGTGAGACTGAGGGAGACGCAGCAGGAGCTGGAAGCGGAGAGAGAGGCAGAGAAGCTGCGCCGGGAGCACGTAGGGGAGCGCGGGCATTGCTGACGGTTTGGAAAAGGAGAGGGGTGGAGGGAGGAGAGGAGAGAAAATGCGGGGCAATTTTAAAGCGCGAACCAAAACAGCAGTGAAAAATGTTTTCTAGTGGGAGTCGTGCTCATTTCTGTGGAAAAACTGCCCAGAAAATTCCTGTGGGAAACGTTACGTGGAAGTAAGCACTGTTACAGGCGTGCGAGCGTGCCTGCCCCGGGAGGCTGTACTGCCGTAACCTTTCCTTGGTGTGCAAGCAGGGCCTGAAGTTCTGGGCAGTGACTGGTGTAATGAGTTTGCCAATGCTCATACCACTGAAGCCAAGGCAGAAGCCCCAAACCCTGTCCCGGCCTTGGTGCTTCTGCTTTGCAGCCAGGACATCTCCAGCTCTGATTTTCCGTTCCCGTTAGGAAACAGAGAGAGCTCACCAGAGAGAGGAGGAGGGCAGGAGAGATTTTGAAAGGTGGAAAGAGGAGGAGAGGACAAAGCTCCACCAAGAGCTGGACAGTTTGAGGCAGCTGTTCCTCGCCGAAATCAAGGATATCGCCAGCAGGAGCAGTGCTGTGGAAGGGGTGAGCGAGCACGCCGAGGTGCGATCCTGCAGGGGAGGCAGAGGCTTAGTTCTCCTCAGGGCGGGTGACGGCCTCACGCATGTCTTGTTGAGGGACATCCGAGCTTGCTGCTGTGCCTGGTCTGCACAGGCTCTGCCTCTCGCTTCTCAGTTTCATAGCCCAAAGAAGCCTCCTTTCCATGTTCCTGGAGCATCCTTGGGATTTGGGGGAGGAGGCAGCGGCTGTCCAAGATAGGACCAGCGGGAGGAGCAGCACTTATGCTGCTTCCCCTACACAGCCACCTAGCACCAACAGCTCCTTCCTCTCCCCGCTACAGAAATTACAGGAGCTGCAGGCCAGAAACATGACAGTGTCCAACCTAGGGACCCTGCGGGATGATGACTGCGAGGAGAAGCAGCAGTGGGCGCTGACCCGGGCAGAGCTACAGGATGTGCGGGAGAGGATGGACGTGCAGGTGAGGAGCGTGGTGCAAGTGTCTTCATTATGTCTGTCACACTCCCTCAGGGGTGCATTTTGATGGTGATGAGCTCATGTTCGTGCACCTCTGTGCACATCTGCTGGTGTGTGTGTCAGCAGAGGTCTCAGATCGGGTTCAGCTAGCAGCTAGGGACCAGCAATAAGCTCCTGCTGATTGACAGCACCTGACAGTCCAAGTCCAGAAATGGGATCTGAGGGATGCAGAGGGCATGACCGGGTCCCAGGTGAACCTGCTTGCTTCAGGGACATCCATCTCCACCAGACAGTTATAGAAGCTTGCCGTATGGAAAAGCGTATCAAGTACCAGGGGAAAAAAGAGATTTCCTTCCCTGTGTATCATTTATCTTACTTCCCTCTATATGGGCTGAAGAAGCAGAGGCTTCAACACATTTGGTGCCTCTGAGCACCAGGAGGGTTGGGAAGGTCCTGCACCAGCTCTGAGGCTCCCCAGCACTGCTGTTACAGTGCCAGTAGGTCCTCCAGGACCTGAAAGAAAGCTAATTTCTCAAAGCATGAACGCATTTGGGTGCTCCTACTAGGGAGAAGCCCACAGCCTGTGGACTGAGGAGGAAAACACCTTTGTGTTTGATTTGGCAGAGGGAAGAGTGGAAGCAGAAGCTGAAGGACCTGCGGAAGGAGCACATGGTGCAGGAGGCCCAGGCAAGTGCAATGCGTGTCCTTGCCGTTTCCTGGGCGCCTCACTCGGAAAAGGCTTGAACACTTCCCTCATGCTTTTTCTCCATCTTAGCTTCAAACCCCAGAGATATTAGGTCTCCTAAGAGAAAGAGGACCTATGTCCAATTGCAGCTGATGGGAAGACACAATCTTGCTGACACAAAGTTGGCTGTATGTCTTCTGCAAGGTCAGAGCTGCCCTTGGGAGGACATGTACCTGTGGCTGCTGGCTGCTCCTCAGTAACAGCAGTTGTGGGTCAGGCTCTGCTCAGACTTACGCTGAGTTGTGACCCAGAGAGAAAAGAGACCACTAGGAGTCTACCGAAAGGCCTCAGGTTGCTTTAACAATTCAGTAATGAACAAAAATCTAAAGAGTTTCCCCTGTTGGTAAAGAGAAGAGGTGGCTCTGAACCCAATTTTAGCATGTTAAACTCTTCTCATTGTCTTTTTGTCCCTCTCAGTTGAAGAAGGAAAACAAGAAGCTCCGTGCTGCCCTGTCCCAGGACCAGCGGGCAGTTATGGACCACTTCCATCAGGAAATGGACACGCTCAGCACCCAGCTTAGAGACCAGGCTGAGGTCATTAAATCACAGGAGAAAAAGGTACACAGCACCTTCGCTCCACACCTGGCTGCAGGTGTGTGATGTCCTCTGCAGGTAGGACCCCGGTGTAACCTTCATGTGAGCTGCTCACATCCATCTGGGAACGTAACTCAGAGAAATGAAAGGTGACCGAAAGGTGGAAAGATCGCGTTAGGAAATGGTGGGTGGTTGTGGGTACTGTTGGGCCTAGAACGGACACCAACATGATGATATCAGGATGCTCGTCCCGTTAGCTGGGGAAGGCGCCCCGCTCCCCACCCAGTCTGTCTGACCCTAAAAGCAGGTTCAACGTGTGTGGTATGGTCAGAAACAACAGGTTGGATGTGTTTTCCTGATTTAGGCGGCAGGGATCAAGTGCCGGGCTGCCTGGCAGGGACCCCCGGACAGTGCCTGAATTGCACACCTTCTTATCCCCCTTCCTGTTTCTGGACCCTGCTTTTTGCCTCCTTGTGCCTCCCTTTCTTTGTGTCAATCTCCTGCCAGATTTAAAAAATGCTTATGCAGCTTGCTTTGCAGCTTGAAAGTGCTCAGGCTAAAATATGGCAAGTGAAATTTAAAAAATGTAGGCCTTGATTCATCAGAGCATTTAAGCAGAACTCGGTTCTTTAAGCAGGCTTAAAATTCTTGCTTAGTTAAACCTAGGCCTGATTTCAAGCTCAGTGTGTAATGCTTTGCTGCGTTGGGGTCTTTTTCCCACTCGTTAAGCACACAGCATGGTTTGAATATCGGCCAACGTGAACCACGCCACCACTGCAGCACTTTGGGTTGTGATTTGGAGCATCTTTTACTCTGTATCCAACCTGTGAATAACACGTGGGTGTAACAGGATGGCATCCACTGTCCTAGTATTCGCATTATGGAAAAGGCAGAACCTGGGCTGACCCCTTGGAGGTACAGTCTGTTTGCGGAGGAAAAAACATTTGGTGGGTGTATGTGCCCGCTTTAGGCCCATGCTCTCACATGCACACATGTTGCGGTGCTGATGGGCTCATCTTTGACTCAGCTTGATCAGGAGGACAGAGCTGAAACCGGTCTTTTCCACCAGTAATAGACAGCCTGTCTAGGAACGAGCTATATTGTGCTTTCAGCAAAAAAAAACAAAAAAAAAAAACAAAAAAAAACTTTCATCCAGGCACTTCAGCTTGCCGCAGAATTATTTTTTGCTCCTTTTGTGGTGCTTTTAATAGTAATATTCCACTGAGAGAGGAAAAGTTACCGCAAATTATAGACAAAGAACTGATCTTTGAATGATGCCCAGCCTATTTCTTTACAGATCAAGCTGCTGTCTGCAAGCAAACCTGAAGGTAATAACTATGTATTTTAAGGTGAATCAGTTTGGGTCTTAGATAAATTTTCCATACCCCTTCAGAGCACCCTGTCTTCTCTCTGTCCCTCTACAATATCCTTGCTGGTTCAGGCAAGTGAGTGAGGAAAACATGTCATGTCCACTGCAGGGAGCTGGCTGTATGTCTGCTCACATGACCCTGCAGCAGACCACTTCCAGACCCTTTAATATCAGCTGCAGCAGCACAGACCACAGAACTGGCTGGCTGGCAGAAAACTCACTCTCTTGGGCGGCTTTTGAATTGTAGCCATACCCCAAAGGAATTAGATTTCAATCAGGAGCTCGCAACAAAGGGATGAACTCTTCCTTCCCTTGCCTCCTCCAAAATGATGCCAGTAGTTATTTGCATGAAAATAGGGAGTCAAGACGCTCTGCGGTTTCTTCATTTATCTGGGTTTTCTCTAATCAAGAGCCAGGGTGAGAAAACAGGGACTTCTCAGCTCCCTGATGCCTGCAGCACAGCAGCAAACACAGATGTGTGCTGCTGCTCTCCAGCTACTTCTCAGAAAAGAAAAAGAGGCCTTAAAACAGAGATGGCTGACAGCACATACCCAGCAGGCGTAGCGTTCACTCCAGACCCAGGGGGTGGCAGAGGGCTGCTTGCGAGCACTATTGGGTTTCCCTCAGGGATGCTCTCCAAGGGGTTGTAACCAGGCCCGAGCCAGTGCTGGATCTCTAAGATATAGACGCATCCGCTCTTTGCTTTCATGAGGAACAAGGTAGGGATCTGAGCCTGCTCCCACGCTGGGACCTCGGCTCCTCTCTCAGCCCTCATGGGCTCCTTTCTGTCTGTGCAGTGGCCCGGGAAGCACCCAAAGTGGCGGCTGTGGAAGAGTCATCAGAAGAAGGTGGGTACTGGTGGGATCCCCATCCTCAAAGGGATGAAAGGACCCATCAGCCTCCTCCCTGGCGGGCTGAGGTGCCTTACCGCGCTGGTGCCAGCACCCACCTCCCCAGGCCTTGTTTTGCTCCAGACATGGAGGACGCCCTGCCTGAGAAGCAGAGGCTCCTGGAAGCTCTGCAGAGAAACCCCAACCTCCTGAAGCGGTTTCGCCCTGTCCTGGAGGAGACGCTGGAGGAAAAGCTGGAGAGCATGGGCGTGAAGAGGGTAAGTCTGCATTTGCAGAGTAACCCTGTCTCTGTCCCTTCGCACTGCCAGCATTTGCCATGCCAGTCCTGAGCCAGCGCATGGGGATGAAGACTGCTCTGAACTGTGGTTTTTTTGTTGGTGGTGGTGGTTTATTTTATTTTTTTTCTGAGCAACTACAGAACTAATAGGCAGTAAAACAATCCCTGTCTGGAGCAGTTAGTTTCTTCCAGGAAAATGCCTTCTAAAAGGAAGGTCTGTGAGGGCACAGCAGTCTGTATCATGGGGATGTCAAGGGGGCTTTTACTGTCCAAGTCCTTTTCATGCCAAGTATATTAAACAGTATCTTCTGCAAGTCTTCCCAAGCTCTTAGCGATGCAACACCACCACCTAGCACCTCGCAGAGCTGGTGCAAAAGCAGTGAGCGTGCATGGCCACTCCTCTGCTGGAGACCTGCGAGTCTACCCCTTGCTCCTTTGAACAATGTTTCTGAGCAAGGCAGCAGTTGTGTTTTGTCCGTTGGGATCTGCAGGTCCTGAAGGCACAAAGAGAAAGGACTGAATTAATGACTCCTCGTGTGATTGTTTCCTAGAGGTGCTTTTAAGGAGTGAAAACCTCTGACAGGAGACCAGAGTGCAACTGAGTGCTCCTGGGTTCATTTTACACAGACTGTGACCCTGGCTTTTCCTCCCTTCCCCTGGTGTGTTATTAGGGAAGGCTGAGGTGAGCATTTGTGAGAGTCAAGAGCATCTGAGGTGTCCTAAAACAAGTCCAGAGGCATATAACCCCCCTTTACTTCTTATCATTTCACTTCTCTACTACCCCAGCACTTTCATGGTTGCAAAACCTGCTGGAACTACAAACACCTCCTAAGTGAACATGCTTGCCCTTATTCTGTAGGCTAGAAATTGCTTGAAATAGCTGGATTTACTGCTCAGTGGTCATTTACCAAAGCAGAGGGCTTTCCAAGCAGGGGACTAAAGCCTCTTAGTGACCTGGTTGCATGGGATAAGAGCATCTGTGCCAGGGACAGGGTGGGCATCAGGCCTATTGCTACCCTTCTAGATTCAAGTTGGGTTCAGCGGGCTTGGAGCTTGCAGGAAGCTCACCAGATAGGGGAACTGTTGGTAAGGGCACGTTTCACTGTGTAGTTTCACCGCAGGAGAACCGTGTCAAGCCCCTCAGCTACCCTCTGCTTTAGGTTGCCAAGGGTATCTCGACTCAGACCTACAAAAACCTCCAAACTCTGGTCAGAATTCAGCAGCAACAGAAGGCTGAGAGATTTCCAGAGCTTCTCCTCCTGAGGGACAAGTTAATCCGAGCGGTCATGTGGAAGGTTAGGCAACGCGAGAAGCCCAGCGGTGCCTTCCCTCGACAGCTGTCCGTCATCCCAGGTGAAGTGACCTCCTCTCCTCTCCAGAAATGTAGAGTGGGGCTGCAGGTCCCCACCTACCTATGGCCACGGGATGCCATTCCCTCACCCAGTGGGGCAGCAAGACGGAGAAAGGGTAGGAAAGGGCATTTGGGGTGATGTAAGTCTTTACAGCAGCTCTTTGCATTACTGACCCTGCCTGGGTTGGCCTTTCATGCTCAAAAAATATCAGCTATCCCAAAGAAGACCCAAAAAAGAGCCCTGGCCTTTTGCCCAGAAGCTCACACTTAACAAGAGCTATCTTGCCACTGGGAAACGGGGTTACAAAAAGCTGCAGAGTCCAACTGGTCACACATGAATGGGATGGTCTGCAAGGATTACCAGCAGAGTGAAATACAGGTTGAGTGGTGGGAAAGGCCTGCCTAAGCCTGCTGTTCCTCCCTTCCCATTGTGGGCCGACTGAATAGCCCAGGCAGGGAGTTTGCCTGTCTGTGTGCCTCTGCAGAGAGTCACAGCCTGTGACTGTGGGCTGCAAGAGCAGGAGATGGTGGGCTCTGCCTGTGGGGCCCCGAGGTCATCCTGAGCCTGAGGATCCCCTTCAGTGGCATTCTGCAAATCCCTTCCCCCCCCCCCACTTTTCCTACCCACTGTTGCTTCCCCAGGCCGAGTGAGCAGCATAGCTCCCCCAGGAGCTGCATGCACAAGACCGCCTAGAGGTAGGTAGCGATTTTTCTTGCTCTCATTTTTTTCTTGATCTCTTTTTCTGCCTTCCAGTTCAAAGCCAAAAGAGCCCCCGGCCACTTCATCGGTCTCTGCCATCGTCGCAGCCCATGGTGAAGCTAGCTGCATTACAGCCTGGACTCTCAGCAGCCCCCCAGCCAGCTCCTCGGAGCAGAGCCTGTGCCACCCACAGCCCTCTGGGGACATCCCTGGGAACCACCCAGACCCCCAAAGCCAGCAGCACCCCCAGCCCTCTCCCAGGACCTGTCCCACAGCTGAGGTGAGTCCCATTGCATCCTTTCGATCCCCATGTAGGAGGCCACAGCCCAGAACCCTTGGTCACAAGGCTGGTCCCAGCTCCACTAGGTGCTGTACAAACACAAATGTCCTTGGGAACTGCAGGCTGGTGGGTGATATGATGCTCCAGAAGGGTTTGTTTGGAGAAGGAGTTTCCCTGCCCCTTTGGGCTGGCTCAAGCAAGCCAGTTAAGTCAGACCTTAGGTACTGTATCCCACCCCTTGGTGCTGGAGACAAACATGGGGCATTTGACCCTTGTGTTAGGCTCTTTCTTCCCTTCCTGTCACCTCTGAGCAGATGAGGACGTTCTCTTGGGTTTTTGGAGCAAGAGTAGTAAGGATGAAAAGGAAAAGCTTGCAGAAACTGTGCAGAGAACATGCAAGGCCAAGAACAGGTGAGAAAGAAGAAGCACTTGTTTGCTCCAGGACGAAAGAGGAAGCCAGATCTAAGTTTTAAACTCAACCCAAGCGAGATTCAAACACAAGGCAGGTATATGAGCTTTGGTTTGAGTCCCTGTCGGAGAGGCCAGAAGGAAAGAGCTTGCAGTAGGCAGATGTGACTGACTTGTCCGCAGCAGTAGGCAGCACAGGGTGCATCTCCATGCAACTCCCTGCTCGAGGACAGATCTTTACAACTCCTGGAGTATCACAGGACTTCCACATATCTGCTGCAGAAACAGGTAAAGGGGGACACCAGAGGCAACAGGCCCAATTTTCCCCCGGTGCTGTGGGTCTGGCCATGAGGACTTGTCTCTTGCTGCATGCAAAGTCCCAGAGCTGGGTACCCTGCCTGCCTTGAGTTGTCTGGGCCTTCCAGCCCCAGCGGTGTGGGGGACAGCCCTGACTGGCCTGTATCTCTCTGTGCACCCTGCTGCAGCCCACGTCCCCGCTCAGAAGTGATGTTGGGGTGGGAGCAGGCTGGTCTGTCCCCCATGAAGCTGAGACCTCCCACAAGCACACAGCAAGAGCGGACACTCTCCAAAATGATGCCAGAGGATGACACTGAATCGGATGGATCTGCCTTGGATTCGCCAGAGGAAACGGTTGGCCCAGGTATTTGCCCATTGTTGTAGCGACTGCTGTAGGTCATGCTGAATAACTGCCCGTTAATTCAAACGGCACCTCCAGCCCCCTCCGTTGCAGTCAGTGCCGTGGCTGTGGGCAAGTGGTCACAGTGTGCTCCTCTCTCTGGGCCCTGCACACCTGAACCCTTGATAGGTGTCTGTGTTTTAACGTCAGGACAATGTGGTTAAAGTGCATGGACAGGCCTGGTTGGCACCATCAGTGCCACCATGTCTCTTTGTTGCTGGGGATGAAGAGGGAGCAGTCTTAATCCTCTGTTCTCATGCTAGGACAGGTGGACAGGCACTGGTGGCTTTATCCTCTGCAACTTCTGGCCCTGCTGGGTGGCCTGTGTTAACATCCCTTCCCACCAGCAACGCTGAGGAGCAGCTGAGCTGTGCTGAGCAGGACTCGCTGTGTGATTGTCTGGCTCCACGGCTCCCGTTTTAACTCGCTCTCCCCATGCAGGGACAACGGTGTCTGCGATGGTGAAGGTCTTGGAGAGACGCCTGGACACGACAGCACAGAAACCAGCTGGGGGTGTGAAACTCTTCCCCGAGAGGAGCTCTGGGTCACTGGAAGCCAGCCAGCCCGCCAAGAAACTCCAGGTACTACCTACAAATAGTAAAGAGAGAGAAGAGGGGAAAAGCCTGGGGAATGCTATAGTAAAATGCTTGTCTTGGTGACCAGCCCATTTCCCAATGAGCCGTGAAGATCTGGATTTAGACACAGTGATGCTTTTTAATACAATTTGAGGAAAAACAGCATCTTTTGCCCCTTTCTTAGCACAGTGTCATAGGACACAGTCTGTGCAGCAAGGAGCTCAGGCAGTTTACAGTGAGGGAGACTTGGCCCTTGGCCCTGTTCTCCAGTTACAGACGTGTCCTTCCCCTAACGTTTTTTTCCAGCCACCCTCTTTGGAAAAAAAATCAGTATTCGTGCAACTGGGAGAACAACAATAAATGCTAGAGAATCAAATTGAGAAAAGGTCTCTGGAACAAATCCAGAGATAATTGGAGTGATGCAATGGCAAAATTATTAAATTACTAAACCAGGACTTAAATGTAACCTCAATTTATGGGGGAGAGTTGATGTAATTAAAGTACTGACAGTGTTGGAATAAAATTGCTTTTTTTGGGGGGGGAGGGGGGAGGAATTCATCCAAGAAAGGCCTAGCACAAGAGCAAGAGAACAAGTTTTTTTCATTGCAATGAGAATGAAATTCTGGGCCTTCATCTAGCAAAGTTTAAAAAAAAAAAAAAAACATGAAATTTATGGAACAATTCTCAATTCAGAGAAAAACAGAGAATGGCTCTGACCCGTGTAAAAATTATATAAAAATTAGAGCAAAGAGTGCTAAACTTGATGCATCTGGATGTCACTCAGATGCATCATGGGATAAATTAGGAAATAGCCCCAGAAAAACAGTCAAGCAGTTCATCCCTTCCTGTGGCTGTCCTTGGGCCCCTGTGGCCACAGCCCGTCCCTGGGCGCCCATCCTGCCAGCCCCATGTGGCCTCTGACCTGCAAAAACCAGCGAAAAAGGCAACGCAAATTCCAGTTGTTTCTGAACTGTTCCTATGGGGCTGCAGGTGCAAATGCCATGTGTGGTCCAGTGCCGCCTCTCCCCTCATCGCGTCTCTCCCTTGCTCCCCCTCCAGGCTGTGGGTGACAGCAGTGACCTGGACACCTCCTCCCTGGAGGACCTTGTGGTGCCCCGGGCACGGGAGCCGCCGGAGAGCTGGCGGCGGCCGATGGCGAGGCTCAACGGAGACTCGGGAGGCTCACCTGGCACCAGCGCCTGGAGCTCAGGCAGTGCAGGAACCAGGGGCTGGTGACCTGCCCGGCAGGGCTGCCCCATTTGATGGCCCTGCTTGAGCAGGGGGGTTGGACTAGATGATCTCCAGAGGTCCCTTCCACCCTTGGCCATTCTGGGATTCTGTGATTTCCCTGGGCCCCGGGGGAGCCATGCTGCAAGGTGACACGACAGGAGAAACGACGGCCCTCTCCAGGAACAAGCAGCCACCAGCAGCCACTTGATGGTGCCACAAGACCAGAAACAGGCAGCCACCGCTCTGCAGCCTCCGAGGGCTGCTGTCTGGGCTGCAGCAGTTTCTCTTTCCTGGTCAAGCAAATTACCCCAATGCTGGAGCTTGCTCAAGCACCACATAAGGTTGGCATCCTCCCCGGCCAGGTGCTGTTATGCAAGCCAAGGGGAGTAAATGCTTTGTGACCAGAAGGGCAGTGATTTCTGCCTTCCCTTCGTGCGTGTGTCTGCGTGAGTTGTAACGCAGCACAGAGCCCATCCTAGGGTGCCACGAGCGTAGAGAGCAGCTCTCACTGGCCGTTGAACTATCCCTGTTCTCCATGCTGGTCACAGCTTGACGCTTGTGTGCATCTATTTTATTTTTTTAAGCCGTCTATCAAACAGATGAACTCCAAATACTGATTATTTGCCCATTTGATTATATGTTATCACATCAGTCAGGCTCTGCTTATAATGCTTATCCATACAAATGAACTGCATTTTCCTAAATCTCTCTCTGTTTTGTACATTTGTAGCTGTGCGGGAGACAACCTTGATCCTTCCAGAAGGCAAAATTGTGTAGGTTCGAAAAATACAACAGGAAAAATTGCACTGACGCTACGTGACTACTCATCTGTTTTTCCAGCCCGCTCTACTGCTGGTTAAAATTTCTGCCTTTTCATGTTTGTGGAGAATTTAATGTCATGGAGCAGAAAGACCAGCCAGAGCTGAGCAGAACAGCAACGTGAACTCATTTCGTTTCATCAAACAGCAAAAGTGCCTTCCAGCTAGGTGACTGCAAACATGCAGAAAAACATATATAGTAGATGCACATATACCCCTGTAGGTATGCATTCACATGTGCGCTCCGTATATCTATATTATGGCTCTGTGTGCTGCATGCCTAGAAACTTTGAGAAGGAATCTTTCCATTTTAATCTTTCCATTTGAAAGAAGACCTATGCCCGATTTGTGTTATTCATTAAGTTTACAATACTGTAGCCACATGTGTTACTTTATGGATAATTTAACAGACATTGTTCTTGTTGGTTAGTGTTGATCATAATGAATATTTGCTTTCAACAAATTAAAACAAATGAGCTGGGTAGGAGTGAGTGTTCTCCTCTTCAGTGTGTAGGGGTGACAGGGAACCCAGCTGCTGCAGTCAAGCTTCATGTGCTCAACGGAGAGTCCAGACATGAGGGAAAAGTGCCAGAAAGGTGAAGAAAAACTTCTCCTGAGTTTTGGGAACTCCAAAAATACCTGTCAGCCTTGTGCTAAGAGAAAGGTGAATAAATGCCCTGCAAGGTTCAGGGCCTGGGCAAACTCTGTTGTTGCCCCAGTTGCTGATTTCTGCCTCCGGACTCATCGCTGGTGTCGTGGGAGGCAGCATGAGGGCACCCACAAACCTCAGCCGCCTCCACCTCTTGCAGCCCGCCGGCCACGGCTGGCTGCTGTGAGTCAAGGAGCCCTCAGGGGGAGCTCAGGCTATGCTAGCTGAGCACGCTTACAGCTTGCAATGTCCTTTAGAGAGGACGAAATGATGATACAGGACCTTGGGAAGCGATGTCCAGCTGTGCAAACAACGCATGGTGCCTCTTTGAAAGCACGCCAGCGTGCCAGGCAGAAATACCTGGTCTTATAGGCAGAGGGTTTCGCTGTTTTTCTTCCTGATAGCTGTAACTGCTCGGAGTCTTTGCGCTAAAGATGATCACTAGTTTCTAGCAGGTTTTAGGAGATTTAGGGGAGGGTCACTGCCTATCAGAGATTGTCGCAGGTTATTTTCCATTGCCAAGCTTCAACCGAATTTAATTTTATATCAGAAGGAAGTAATTAACTCTGGTGATCAAATAAATGTACGTACAGACAAGTCATTTCAGTTTCGGGTTGGACATTTTGAGTCAGCAAAGTTGAGCGACTGAGGAACTTGCTCCCGATGTGCTACAAGCTGCACGTAGCACCACCTCAGAAAACGCCCTGTGGCTGCGGGAGAGCCGTAAAGGCTCAGTCAGGCCCCTTGGGTTATCACAAGTGCTTCTGTCTCCACACGTTATGTCAGAGAGGAAAAGAGGAGAGGGAGAAGAGCCTCCAAAGCTACCAGTGCCATCAGCAGGGAAGCAGGGCTTTTGCATCAGATTCTCTTGCCTTGCCTCTGCCAGAAAGGAAGATTTTTTTTTTTTTACTCGATTTTGTGGGTTTTTTTTGTTTTATGGAATCCTTCTCGAGAAAAGAGCACCCTCTTGTACCCCTTTCTTAGGACACTGTCCACTTTTTATCTTTTCCCGATCGTACAAAATCGGGCTACGTCACAGGGTGTCTGCCGCTAGCCTAGTGGCTGCTAGCATCACTGAGCGCTCTTGCCGTGCTACACAATGGCGAAGCAGCGGAGAACAGAAGGGAAGCTCCCCCAGCAGACGGATTATTGCATCCGAGGGAATTAAAAACAAAGCCAAACAAAACAAAGCCAATCGAAAGTGCGCAGCGGAAGAGAAAGTCAGAAGTGTGAGCAGGGACTCTCACTCGGAGACGAGTTTAAATAGACAGACAGGTGTCCTGATAATTCCTTTGCACAAAGATTTGTTTGTAACAGCATTAAGAAAACAAATTCGGCTTCTCCCACGGGACAACAACAGTCGAACGAAAGCTGAGTCCAAAAATGAATTTGCTTCTCTCTGTAAAGACGAGATGTTGCAACATCACAAGACAACGTGACTTCGTTAGCAGCAAAAGCAACGAGGAAGCAAGAAGGCAGGGCTGCTACGAGCAGGGACGGCTTGTGCAAATCACAGATGCCACTAAGCAGCGATGCACACTGCTCTGTCTGCCACTACCTCGCAGCGCCCGAAAATGCCTCTCCGCTCTCTCATGCCTTTGCACCTGCTCCCCAACTATTTCTGCTGGCTGTAGAGCAAATCCTGCCCACTGCCATGGAGTTACTGCGCACCCTTAGCCCTGCCGCTTGCTAGATGGTTGTGGTGAGGGTGGTGAGAGCAAGGTCAGATCCATGGATGAGAGGAGTTTTGGGGGCTCAGCACCAGGGTACACCCAGCTGCATGAAGGTGGAGGCTCTAAGCCATGCTCAAAACCCAGATGCCTACTTGAATTGTCAAATAGGACCTGAAGCCCTCCAAGGTTTTGGCACTTGGACAGACTCCTCCGTGTTCCTTAATGCCCAGAAACTTCCTGAAGGGCTAAAAACTGTAGTTTCATTAAATGATGGAAGTTGCAATGCTAGCATCACCGCCTGGTTTGGCAGATCAGGGCCTGGATATGTGCTGTCAGTACCTGTGCGTGCCTCATGCCTCAGTTTTACGCTTCCTCCAGTGCAAGCAGCATAATCATCTCACCCCTTTGCCCTGACCTGCGGCTCCCCAGTCATGCAATCTCATCCCTCTCATTACCAGACTGCTCCCTTATGTTCCTGCAAACTAAAAAGGTTTGATTTTTCACCCCCCCTAATTTTTTTGACCTTATTTCCAATTCAATGAAGTCACAGCTCTGCTAGTTTTCTGCAAGGTGGTCTCCAAAATCCTGTTGCTTACTTGCCATATTGGCACTAGGAGCGAGGACCCTACTCTCTTTCACTGCTCCATCCCAGCTATGATGGAACTATGATTTATTTGGCTTTGAATACAGCTTAACACGTGATACTTCTTCACTTAGCGGTAGTGTGAGCCTCACAGAGGCTCTACAAGCCTGATCAGATTTCTCCCACACACTTTGAAGTTTTTCGTGAAACCTAGTATCTTCCACTAAAAGTATCTCCTATTGCTTCATCCCCTCTGGAGCCTTGAGGAACAGTAAAACAAGTTCAAAGTCAGAAACATAAGGAACTGGCTAATGAAAGAAAGAGAAATCACAGAAATGGGGTTCCTATCTGAAAAGTGCATCTTTGCACTACCATGACAAATGAAAGAGTCCAAGAGAAGCCTAAGGTATAACTAATGCTAACCTCCCTGAGCTCTGCTCAGTCAGCTTCCAGATTACAGGTATTGTAACAAGCAGTCATACCATTCAGGACATAAATGGGACATATTCATGACTCACATCCCATGGGGCACAAAACAGCACAGTTCCACTGAGATCGGTGGGCCAGGCCTTTGCCAGGAGTTTAATGCCATTGGAGTCTAACGTAGTTCAGAAGAATATATTTTGCATTTTGTTTTTCTCTGTGACATTTGTCTTTGTAAGACTGGATCTATTGATAATACTTTTATAAAGCATGAATATATGTAGGACAATTAGCAGCTAATCAAATCGCTGCACTAACTGTCTCTGAATGGAACACAACTCTCCCAAATAATACACAGCTGAAAAATAAAGGAAAAGAAAAATCCTATCAAATTTATTCAGCTGGAATATCTCACCCATAAAGCTATTCTCCCATAATATTTGGGGCAAGCACGGTGTCATAAATCTTAGTGCTATTAATCCGTAGACTCATTCATCTCTGTTCAGCTATATAAAAGCAATAACCTTGTCACTATAGGAAGGAAGATTGGGCTTTTAATTGCATATAGATTTCAGGAGAGTTCTTATCTCATAGTCCAATTTGTAGCTTCAGATATGAGTCTTTGCTTCTCTTGGTCAAAGTCCATGCAAATCTGCCATGCTCCCACGTAGTTATAAATGTTCCAGAAGCTCAGGAAGGACCTATATAGAGCTCTACTGGGAGATAATACACTCGGGCTTTTCAGTGTGTGCTTTACTAGACAAGCCTATATTTAATTAGCTGCTCTGAAACGGTATATATATTTTCACTGAATGATCAAATTTATGGAAACAAAATCCTTTCAGTGTGCACACACACACGCTCACACGGACACCCAACCAAGATTTCCCTGACTCCTTTCCCTTGGCTCTTTGAGAGCTACCAAATAGGTCTTTTGCCCTCAAGTGCATTACCTGTAGAGGCAGAGTAGTTAGCAGAAGGTCTTCCCTCCTTCACTAACGACAGCCGCAGGAGGAAACATCTGATTTATTAACAGGGGCCAAGGGATCTGGAAGAGCTGGTCTCCAATTGGTGCCCCGGTAGTCTTTGGTCACACAAAGCCTGGGACTATGAGCTCCTCATTGCTGTGCGAACACTCGAATCAGCAAGCTGGCATGTCCTGCCCAAGCTCCCTCCTCAGTTTGGCCTAGCAAATATTTAGCTACCTCTCCCAAAGTGGAACTAGGCAGCAAAGCAGGAGGGTGAGAGCTTTGCTCTGCAGTGCCTCGATGGGTCACCGCACCATCCGTGAGTGCACTTGCAGCGGGGTGGCCGGATGAAAGCTATGCATTGCTGCTTCAAGTAGCCAAGTTTTGCATCAGTGCCGGATTTCAGCGCCCGGATTCTCACCCGTGTGCAGGGGTGGTGCCTCCCTGCAGCCCTGGCCAGGGAGCCAGGCGTGGCATGGGGTACTGAGGTCATGTTTTGGGTGGGTGGCCTCTGGGTGCACCCTAGGCAGCTTATGTGCCCCAGCGTCCTTCATCCCCATGTGGCAGGTGCTTAGCACTAAAGACAGGGCTGTGGATGCAGTGCGGACTGTAGCCCTACGGCATCCTCTGGGTGACAGGCCCCTTTGTCATGGTATAAATCAATAGCTGAGATCAGGACGTAGCTTGAAATAACCCTGATCCCCAAGGAAGTTTCTTACCTCTGCACATGGCCTTGCTTGGACACAGCCTCTGCTCCCGTTTGCTTTTATTCACCCGTGTTACCTCCATTTGGGTCCTCCAGAAAAACCCTCCACCGGTGTCCATGCCAGGTCTCGATGCACCCTACCATGGGTGTGCTCTGAGGTTGGTGTCCTTCACATACGGCCCCAGGCAACCTGTCAGCAAGCACAGTGTCGTGGTACATGGGCACCATGAGCTGCTACAGAGAGAAGGCTGGGCTGCTCCGTGGGGGCTTTGGGGTCTTACTTTCTTCCCGACCCCAAGAAATAATTAGGAACATTTTTAGGGTATCTGCAGGTTTTTAGCCAGCAGGACTGCAGAGGAAAGCTTGAAAATGGGACCTTTGTCCTTGCTAAAGACCAAGATCTTTCTGTAAGCATGTGTTCTCAGCAGCAGGTCTTGAAGGAAGCAGATCAGTTCAGCTCAAAAGTAGATATTTTGATCTGTGGCCAGAGACAGGGAAATAACATGTGATTTTTTTGCAGGAGGGCTGAGAAACGCAGCAGGCGCTCATTCTCCCTGCATGGTCATTCCCTTCCGCAGGATTTTGCTTCCTGTGATGCGCGATGCTCGCTGCTTGGGGTGGTGCACACCAGGAGATAAGGTCTGCTTGGCCGGCTCCGGGAAAAGAGGGGAGTAGCTTTAATACTGGGTGTTGTTACACAACAGACAGACTCATAAATAAATGATTTTTCTGCTTCAGAATTTGACTTTTTCCAGTAAAGTTTGCTGCATTAAAATTTTTGATGCTGCAAGTTTTCGACTGAGGCAAGAAAATGAAAACTGGTGTTGGAAGATTAGAAATCTACTGAGGACAGAAATTCCTGGATACAGCTCTGTTTCAGCTCTCTGCCGTTCTCCTTAATGTTCGTGCCTACAATCTTGTTATCTCTACGCTCCCTCACACCTAAGTGAAACTGAGAGATAGCCGTTTCAGTGAGTTTGTCGGTGTATTTGTGTTGCATAAAAATAAAATGCAACTTTCACAGGTGTCCCCTTGTGATTTTGTGTGGGTCCCTTTTTGTTCTAATGCACTCAGAAACCTGTATTTCAAATTTTTCCAGCTTTCTATATTATTCGTTAGCCTGTGTACCTCTACATAACTGCCACTTAGGTGTTTCCTATCTAAATTAAACATTCCCATGCTTTTGAGCCCCTTTCCAGTGGAAGCTGGCAGGAGTGAGAGCATACCAGCAATTTTTTTTGCTCTCCTAAGAACGATGAAGTATTTGGAAGTATTTAAAAGTATTTAATAACTACCTTGAAAGTCAAGCAGATGTTGAACTGACTAGAGTGGCCCCAAACCTGAAAAGACCCACATGCTTGCTTGGCTTTACTCCTAAGTAAGCCCAGTGAGTTCAGGGAAAATGTCTGCTTGCGTATGTTTAAATAGACGCTTAGTGTTTTCAGAGCAAGGACCTATTATTTCACTGCCTCAGTGAGTTGGGGTCTCCTGGCATTTGTTTAACTACTCTTCTGATAATAGTTCTGTCTCAGAATATTACTAACAGTAGAAAAAGTCAGAGCTGGATTGTTTCTAGTGGTTAAACAAGGGTGACCCTTACCACTAATCGACAGACCGAAGGATCAGGCTAATTATTCGGAGGTTACAGCTTGTGATTCTCAGCACATTGGGTGGCAATATTGGCCTCGATTTTCCAGCTGGAAAAAAAACACTAAATACTTTCGGTTCTCGTGCCAGGCACATGAATCCAACCCATGAGGAGAACTAGCAGCCATCTGCGGCTCTCCTAATAGCAGAAACCTCTCACGGTTTGCATTGCATGTTCTCCATGTGTTTACACAGCTAAAGAGCCGTCTGTTAATACATGACTTATTGCTTTTTAATAGAAGGTACCAGCATGTTTTACTGTGCAGGTGATGGGTTGCGTTAAGACCTTCTAGATTTCTTGCAGAAGTATTCTGGGTTTTAGACTGGTGCCTACCAGAATATGATCCAATCATTAAGTTATTAAGCTTCTGGGAGCTGAGATGGCAAATTTTGATAAGCACGCCAAGATCTGTACACAGATGTTTCTAATATAAAGATGATCGCAGACTGTATTCGTATAGTGTTCATAGCACCCTCTCCAAAGAAAACTAACTTTACAATGTGAAAAACAGAGAAGGAGAAAAGAAATTGGAAAATCAGACATTATAAATCCTATCATTTTTCATATATAGCTTACAAAAGGGGAAAAAAGCAAAAAACTTCATTTGTTTCTTCCCCTCAGCCATCTACACTTGTCCATAATACTCCTGAGAAACTGCAGAATCCAAAGTTGGAATAAGTGTAGCTATGCAGGCAAATTGGTAGCTACTCTTCATGATGAGGAGAGAACAAATAAAAACAGTGACTTAGGGTCTTAAAGACTTTTTCTTTTTTTAATATTCAAGTACAAAAAAACAAACAAACAAACAACAAAACAAAAATAAAGCAAATCCAGTATGCAAAAAAAAAGGGGGGGGGGCGGGGAAAATATGTTTTTACTGGGAGATGGGGAGCTGCACAACCAAGCTGCTCTCCTCTAAAAAATGATGGAGTTCTTCTGAATGGTGGAATCGGCCCCAGGTGGCAGCAGGGGTCTGACCAAGGTGGGATAAAGCCTTCTTTGTGTGAAAAGAAGCTCTTCACAACTCGCCGCATGGTGGTTATCTTCTCTGACTCGCGGGCCCCAGCACTGCCCTCCTGCCACCTCTGCTATCCCATGCTGTGCGCTCCTCCATCCTGTCACTGATCTGTCCCGAGATACAGTCTCCTCATCTCCTGGACCCATGCTGAAGATGCATCTCCACCTGCTGGTGGAGAGCTGGTGGCAATGGAGAGCTGGTGGAAAAATGACTGGGAGCACTGGTTTTCAGCAGAACAGCCTACCCATGCTATTCATGCAAGCCACAGGAGATACTCGCTAGACTTGGGAACCCAACAAAGATCAAACGCTGGGGAAATGTTCAGCTCGAACTGCTGCTCTCTCTAGAATGTGAATCCACCCAAGGGAAAAGCAGCTTTTCTCCAAAACAAGATTGGCAGTGAACTACTGCAGAGAACTTAAAATTATTACAGCAAGTGGAGCAAATACGCTCTGCAGACATCTATCAAAATGGTGACTTTGGAGGCTTTGGACCATTTTTTTTTTTTTCTCTCTTTTTACCCTGTTCCTTGGCACCCATCACTCTGCTAATAGGCGTTCTTTGAGAGCCTCACTAGGATGTGCTCTGGAACTAGGTGGAAGGACAGGCTAACGCAGCGCACAGCACTCCCGTCCCTTGTAAATTCTTGCTTCTCTTCTCCTGCCCTTGACACCTTCAAATACATGTCCTCTCAGGTGGATTGGCTAGAAGAGGCAGTGTCCCATTAAGGAGTTAATATTCGCATCATTTGGGGAAGAATTAACACAAGAAAACTAATGCTCCCTGGGATTTCTGCTCCAGATGTAACTAATTAATTCTAAATGAGAAACTCCTCTGGCTTCATTAAAGATGACATTTGCAGGAACACCAGTAGCACACAGAGGTTTTCAGCTATTACAGCAAACATCAAGCATAGGAATAACAATGGATTATATATATTCCCTGATGAGATCTGAAGAAATAAATACACTTTGGTATCACACGTTATAACAAATGCCTAAGTAGCATAAATCAGATTAAATATCACAGCAGATGAGCATCATAGAACAATCGGCAAAGCAAAGATGATGTATCTGCATAGAGATAGTGACTGAGGAGCAAAATCCCATGACTACAGTATCTGTATGCATTGGCCACACTCAGAGGGAGACACCTGGATTTACTAAAAATATTCAACAAAATAATACAGGAGACTACTAGGTCATTACTTTTGCTTTTCAACCTGCTATGATAAGAGCAGGTGGCAAAATGAGAGTAAAGGTACACTACCATTTCAGCAAAGCGTTGCTTTTTCTGCTGAACGAAGGACACTGGGGTCACGAGGAACTGCTCATCTCTCTAAACCCCGAGAAAGTAGGGGATGACATTACACAGTCGCATGAAAGCCTGCTCAAAGGGGAAAAGGCATGGGGCTAGTATTGCTTTTATACACCGGTCTTCAGCATGTCTACTGTGTTGCGGAAGTATTTGCCCATTTTATCAGGGCAGCACAACAATTTTGGTTTAACTTCTTTTTAAATATACTATTTCACTCTCTGGTTTTCAGTTACAGACATCCAAGTGACTGCCATGGATTTCCATATAACTACTAACTCTACCTGGGCTGTTACTAATGTGAATTCAAACCTATTAGAAGACTTCAAAAATGGCAGAAGGCATAATCCTAGAACTGGCTATTGAAGTTCATATTTGAAATATGAGCATACCATTGTACTCTAAGAGCACAAAAAGGCATGACTTCTGTTATAGACTTCCTCATGCTGGGCATACCAGTGAGCACTCAGATAAAACCAATGTTCATAACCAGTTAGAATATTTCTTCAGAGTAGGGGAAATGCAACAGAAAACACAATCTTATTTACAGGCTGCTTTGCATATACTTTTCGTTTCTGTACTGAAAAACTTTCTATAAAAGACAGCGCATGTCTAGCCCAGAAGGACTACTAAACATAGTCATATTTTGAAGGGTATGAGCGTCTCCCGTCCTCGCTTCGAGCAGCTTCTTCATACCCTGCACCCTTTCTAGTCTTCGCTTCAGGTTCGTAACCAGACCCAACCTTATATGGCCCAGTTCTGTAGGAGATGTTCCGTCCCGACGCGTTGTAGGACACTGCCTTGTAACTGAAAGAGCAATAAAAGATGGCATCAGCTACCAGAGGCTCTGGAACAACCCAAAGCATTGCCCCCTGTGTTCCTGTTTGCTGTTGGATTTGAAGCAGCTTTTGACTGTGTTAGCCCTCGGAGCCAGCGAGCGAGCTCAGAGCCAACTGTCCATGGGCAGGCTGCAACAGTCTCTTTCAATTTTGTACGTAAACTTCCACTTTTTTTGCCATGAACAGATCCTGGGTTGAGTGACGCACCCCCTTGTGACAACCAAACACGATGGTGTACAAAGCCCTAGCTGATGCAAGTTGAAGTTCAGTTTCTGCAGCCTGCACCCACTGATGATCGGCTACTCGATTTGCAATCAAAGCTGCAATTAACGGGCTTTACTTAGCCAGCAAGCACACTGCAGATTTTATAACTGTTCACTAGATTTTAGTATTTAGATTATTTTAGTATTGGATTTTAGGATTTGCTATCTCCTCCCCTCTCAACTTGTTATGCAAGTCACGTAGTCAGGAAAGAGAAACACTCATTGGTAACCCACATCACCAAGCAAACAGACTTATCATTCCGGGCACATAGATCTCATGATAACTTTTGTAACCTGGGTATTACGCATGGATCGGTGCTATGGTGTGCTGGCTATATGCTGTCTATGCTCCCAGTGCCCAGGGCTTCACGTAATACGCTTCAGTGTCTAGCACGGACAGACTTACTGGGATTCTTCTGGAACCAGTCCTCTGCAAGCAAGGCACATCATAATGCCTCCTATGAGGGCCAGGCCTCCCGCTACCCAGCCAACAAACAAGGCTGAGCCAAAGGTGTACCTACAAAACAGAGAGATGTGCCTGGTCAGTGCTGTCATAACTTCTTCTGAAACGCTTTGAGAAATGGCACTCTGGGTGCTTCAAAGGCCTTCTAGCTCTGCCACGCTGCTCTCTCTGCTGCATTTTTCTCCCTCCCGTTCTCCCTCTGGCCCTGCAGAAGGTCCTGTGAGGGCAGGCTTGTGTACAGATTTGTCTTAGATGGAGGTCTGTTCTCCATTTTAGAGAGATCCTAGTCAATTTTCTTGGACTAATTGTCTTTATCTCCAGATAAGGAAATGGCTCCATAAATCTCCCGAGTCCTAGGTCCAAACTAATCTGCACCCAAAGTCTGTTTTTCCTTCACCAGCCTTGCCTACAGCCTGCCCTGGCCCTAAGGGGAATCTCATACCGTGGACCACCATGAGCCAGAGGAGTAACCCACCTCGTCTGGATGTTCTGCATTCCCTGGTACATGTTGGCAGTGGACATCCAGAAGTTTGTGACCAGCATGTTGGCAAACACAGACACTCCAGTGATGGCGCACAGACCTGTGATCAGACAGAAGGGCAGTCTGAGACCCACAAACAACCACCTTGGACCTTGGGGAAGCACGTTACAGCTCTGAAAAAGGTGGATGAGATGCTGCTTTGTGTTCTGACATGGTATCTTCAGGAAGAAGGGAGACCTACAGTGTATTCATATTTCTGCCTAAATTTCCATACGTTTACTTTCCCGTAGCAAGAATAAAATGTTAAACTATAAAATCCCTAATCAGACCAGTCAAAGTCTTTCTACTAATGCATTTTGTCACAAAAAAAAAAGAGTTTAGCAAGTGGAATCTTTCATTTGCTGAGAAAAATCTAATAGTTAAGTTTTCCAGATTTGTTTTGCAGTGAGAAATGTGTAAAAAAGATTCCATATCCAGAAATGATTTTTCTCTGAGTGTGAATACACACTTCCCATCATGTGGAAGAGGAGATATCTCTGATTCACAAGCTGAAAGCTGAATGAAGTAGTAAAGTCTGCCTGGGTCTGCTGGCAGCTGAAAGACTAAGAGCTAAGAGGCAGGAACTTCTACCATCCATCTGTACGGAGGGTCACTCTGAGGTCCCGCAATGACAAGCCTGGCAGAAATGGCGTTATTGTTTAGTATTTCACTATTGCTCATTCTAGCGGAGCAGTCATACAAACGGAAGTCACTGCTGCGTAGAGGAACGGACGTGAGAAGGTGCGGCAGGGTCCCCGTGTGAAGAGCAGAACAGCGCTGTGAGGGGCTATGGGGCCTGCTAGGGCTGAAAGCAAGGAAACCAGGCAACCCTGTGAACATGTGAAGTCTGCTCAGAGTGCGGAAGGAGGTGCAAAACACAGCTAAAGGTCGTGTCATGTAGGTACCTAACTCAAGACATGTAGGTATCTAACTCCTCGCCCAGCTGAGACGAAGGACTCATTTGGAAGTGGGCGAAGCTGGCCAAGGGATGTCCCATCCCAAGTGTCAGTTAGACCATCTATCCTTTCAGCCACCTTCTGGGAATGCGTGGGTGGGACTTTCAAATGTTCTCATTGACCAAATTCTTCACGGACTTAAATGGGTAAAATGATAGATTTTAAATGCAAAATTAAAGCTTCATTGCATAAGGTGTTTCCCTCCACTTAGCTTGTACATCTTTGGATTGTGTGTTGTATGTCCGATATGCCAGCACCAGCAAGCGCTGCTCAACCATAAGGATTTTAAATAGGGACATTCTCCTTGCCTACACGAGGATATGATTACTTATCTAAAATAAATTGTGGGAAAAATCTGTAAGTGATGTTCTTAAGCATTTGCAATTTAGAGGTAGCTGGGCAACACTGTGCATTCATGTACCCTCCCTGGTAACCCAAGGTATTGAAAAATTACAAACTAGGCTACCAAAATCCTGCGAGTCTTAATAAAATGATTATATACGAATCCTGAGGCTCTTTATACAACAACTGTTTTGCATAAATAAATAATACTATGATTCTTAATAATAACACATGCAGGAAATGATCTAATTTCTTTTTTATCTGCAACCTGTTTTTTCAGGCTTCTGTATTTTTCCTCCTCAGAAATGAAGACCACAAACTTCTGGTTTACTTTTACTAAGCAGAGGTAGAAATTCTCATAGAATCATTTGATCCCAGGAACCCGGGCTTGAAAGTGAATGCTAATAACTTTACGCAAGCAGCGTTGCTTTGAGCTGCTCCAGAGCTTCTGCTACCAATGACTGGAAGTACGTGAAGATGTGTCCCACCTTCAATTTCTCAGTTCAATTGTACATGAGAGACAGAACACCGTGCACTTACCAGCAACAATAAACATGATGCCAGAGGTCAGAGTCATGTTGGCTTTTGCAGAATCCTCCATACTGCCGATACGGATGCATTTCAGAGCAAAAATGCACACCAGGAGGCCGAGGATACCCAGGACAATGCCCACAATCATGAGGGCCCTCACTGCCTGAAACATTGCTGTAAAACAAAGCAACAAGAGCTGAACAAAGCAACAAAGCCACTGAACCGAGATTCACCAGAGCCTGGAAGCCTGAAATAAAGTTGCAGCTGTTAGAAGATTTCCCATTAGATTTTTTTTTTCCAAAGGCACTGCTCTTTCCC